AGGCTATGTGTGGAGGTGGTGGGGGGCAAAGAAGGGGAGGCTAGGGGGACACTTCACTCTCTGTAACTCTCTCCCACTCTCCTCCCTGAGAGGTCCAGGGTGCAGGGTTGAAAGGGGAGTCCACTTTCAGGGCAAGCGCTGGGCTGCAGAGCTAGGTGATAAACACGGGACCCAGAGATCCACGCCAGGGCCCTGCTCACGTTCCCTCGCTCCCTGGGCTTGCTGTCAGTTCTCCTAGCTGGCAGGACCCCTCCTGGAGGGAGCAGCCCCAGTGCTCCTGCCTGAGGTCCTTTCTTAGTGCCCAGTGCAGGGATGCCAGGCACTGTGAGGCCTGTGTTTGAATATATGTATATGAGTCTGCGTATGGGTCACCTTTGGGCTTCTGATGGGACGGCACAAAGGCACAGCCCTGGGAGGGTCCTCTGATGACATCTAGTCCACACCCCTTGTCTCACAGAGGAGGGGCAGAGACCCATGCCAGGTCACACTGTGAGGGGGTGGCCCAGGGGACTGGAAGCCAAGACTCTTGGCCCTGATGCAGGCCTCCCCGCTGTGCACCAGGCTCCTTCTCCCCCTCAAGGGGCAGAAAGGGTTAGGGCCTCTCCCCAGGCTCTCCCACACCTGGACTGCGGCACTCTCCCCAGAAGCCCAGGGCTTCTCCAGCGTCACCCAAGGGACTGTCACTTCCTCCCCTCCTCACACCTGCTCCTCTTGGTCCGGTGCCTGCAGAGCTCTCTCCGTCCAGCCAAAAGAAATCCATCCTGCCTCTTGAGCTCCTAAAGGCTGGAGTCTGACTTCCCAGCCATCTGGTAGACCCTTCTTCACAACTCCCCTCAGCACCGTGGACAACCTGGCCCTAGGCTGCCTTTCTGGATTCCTGCCTGCCTTCCACATTTGCTTCGTTCTCTCTGCTCTGTGGGCTAGGTGATTGAACCAAGTACTTGGGGCTTACTTGCCCCTGTTTGTATGTCCCTCTGATGTATGGTGTCCTTTCTTCAGGGTATGATCCATCTCTCTCATCAGATAAGGTGTTTGTCAAGGGTAGCTCGGCTTGTTTTCCCCCTCAGACTGGGAGCTGCTATAGGACAGGGCCTGTTTCTCTTCTCTAAGACTGGGAGCTCCCAGGGAACAGAATCTGGTCTCTCCTCTCCTACCTGGAGCTCCCTCTCGGCAGGGGACCTTTCAAGCTCTGTCTTAGCCCCGAGACTCACCGCCCCTCCAGCATGCACAGGGATAGTTACCATTCCCACCCCTCTTTGCTCCTCTGGGCACTTCCCACCCCAACGTGGCTAATCCAAACCCACGGTATCCGGGAGAGGGTGGCAGACCTGGCAAAGCTTTGAGAACAGCCAAGGACCACTGAGGTCTGTTACCCTCCCTGCTGCCCCACAGCAGCTCTATCTCCGTAAGGGCAGGGTGGCAGGGTTTAGGGGGAGGTGTGACCTGGCAGGGCGGGCTGGTGCCCAGGGCTTCACATCTAAAGACACACAAACCATCAAGCGTGCAGGCACTCAAGTCCCTCAGGTGACCGTGGAGAAGCCCCTGGATTCTAGCTGAGGATCCTGGCTTGTTCACATGTGGGGCTCAGGCAGAGGCCGAGCAAGAACCCACACCCAGCCCCTGGATTCCCAGCCCCGTGTTCTTACCTCTGCATCAGAATGATCCTCTGAGGGGCGCCTGGGCGGCTCAGTGGGTTAAAGCTTCTGCCTTCGGCTCAGGTCATGATCTTAGGGTCCCGGGATCGAGCCCCGCATCAGGCTCTCTTCTCAGCAGGGAGCCTTCTTCCCTCTCTCTCTCTGCCTGTCTCTCTGCCTACTTGTCTACTTGTGTGCCTACTTGTGCCTACTCTGTCTGTCAAATAAATTAAAAAAAAAAAAAAAAAGATCCTCCGAACTCCAGGTCCCCGAGTAGGGGGTGCTGTGTGGCAGTGGAAAGATCTGGAACTTGAAGCCCTGTGCTCTGGGTTTGAATCCTGATGCTGTCTGCTATTTATTTGTTCTGTGTCATGAGAAAAGTGGTGGAATCCTCTCAGTAGGAGGGGGCATGGTCCCACTAACTGGCAAAGAGGCCATAGTGCTCTTCTGTTCTGTCTGTCCCCACACACTATCCATGATCTGTGCCTTCAGTGGTGGCCCCACAGGCTGCCCCCATCCCTGAGCACATGAAATCTCGAGAGACCCCTCTGTATGCCCCTCTCAACCTCCAAGTCTGTTTAACCTCATCCCCTTCCAACCGCCGATGGTGCTTAAGGATGCAGCAGGAAGAGGGTATCTTTGTAGCTGCCCGCTGGGTCACTTCCGAGCTGGAGACCATTGGCAAGTTACTCGCCCTCTCTGTGTTTCTACGTCTTTAACGTGGCAGTAATAATTCCTACCTCTCTAGACTCTTGTTAGTGATACAGGTGTTGAAACAGTGGGGCCTTGTGAGGGAGGTCAGTGGACACTGCCTAGCAGGGGTGATTTACATGTTTGTCCAAATGGGGAAATGAGGGCCCAGAGCTGGTGGTAGACCGGCTGAAGGTCACACAGCAAATGTACTGTCAGACTCTGGGAGTCCTTGCTGACCTGTCCTAGGAAGTATCCTCCCTTCAGGTGAGGGTTTCCTTTCTCTGGCCCATTTGTTGCATTTTCAGCCATCTCAGTTTGGCTTCAAGAAGCCTTCTCTTCAGGGGAGCAGCGTGCCTGGCACTTAGTAGGCACCTGTGAAGACTTGCTGAAGACAGGCATAGAGGCACATGCAGGGCAGGTGTGGACGGGTTCCTGGCAGGGGAGAGGGTGGTGGGCAGGGAGCTGAGCACCAGGGTGGGCAAAGGCTCGAGGTGCTTTTTCCATCCCTCCAGCTCTGCCTTTGCCAGGCCTGGCTGTCTGAGAAATCTCATTTTGCTAGCAAGCTGATTCATGGGCCTGGGGTCCTAGTGCTCCCTGAGCAGCTCTCTGTCAATAACTATTCTTTACAAGGTCCCTCGATTCGTTTTCGGGGTTGAAGACAATTTTTTAAAGAGGAGTTCAGTGCCAGGGCCATTCCAGAGGGGCTGTTAACTTAATGTCCTGCCTCGTTCCCTCCAAGCCTGTTCCCTCTTGAACTACACGAGGGTCAGGACTTGCCATTTCCAGCAATTGTTTCTGAGTTCTCGCATTTGGACGAGGGGTTGGGGGTGAGGAATGGAGAGGAAGGGGCACGGATTACCGGACAGGGTGGCAGGCCAGGCTCTGACTCCGTTATGAAGTTCTCCGGGTGACTCGGGCCAACAGTCCCCTTCTTTGGGGTCCCCCATGTGTGAAAGTGTGGAGGCTGACAGACACCATTATGGCCGTGTCCCCTTGGTTTCCTGGAGTGACCTGGTCTCTGTAGTTCATTTGGGCAGGAGGTCTCTGTCGAGCAGTGGCTCATGTCCCCTCCCCCTCATCCCAATGCGGGACCAAGGAGTTGGCAATTCCACATCCAAATGCCACGGTGTCCACCCAGCTCTGCTCCTGCTGCCTTGGTTCTTGTCCCTTCTGCTGCAGCATCCTCTGAACTGGTTCTCATGCCCCCCACCCCGAATTTTCCTCCGGTCACCAGGTCAGAGGGAAATAGCCCAAACCTCAAGTCTGAGCCTGACACCCCCACCCCTGCCCCGTCCATGCTGAACTCAGCACACTGCCTCTGGCTTCTGCAACTTCGCATGTGTATTTCGTGCTTCTTTTACCACTGGGGACTCCTATTCCAGAAATATGTGCATAGAAAAATAAAGGAAACATGTGCAGAGATATGGCAAAAAAAAAAATAAATAAAAGCATGGGGCATGGGGTGTGCGGCCTTCAGCCCTTTATGCCCACCAGCTTCCCCTCCCAGAATGCCCTTGGCTCCGTCCTTAGCAAACTCAGTTTGAGAATGTCTCCTCCCACCTCCTTTGTGTCCCACCAACCAAGGTTAAAACATCACACATGGCGTCAATCATTCCAGATAACCGTGGGCAGCTGACTTGTCCATCTTCCCAGCAGGGCTGGGGCTCCTAGGGGACAGGCCCCTGGTTTTGCCTCCATGCTCCCTGACAGGGCCTGGTGCACAGTAGGAGCCTAATGTGTTGAGTAGACCAATGGATCTTGAACATGAAGGCCCCAGAAACTCCCTTTGCTGAGAACCTCTAGGAGGAGGAGGGTCTGTGCTGGGAGCTTCAGTCTGCCCAGCAACCCGAGGGCTGCCGTGATCTGTTGAGCAGATGACTGTGGAAGGCAGGCTTCCTTCCATGCTGGGCAGCAGCATGTTGGGGCAGGTACCAGTGCAGCCCTAGTCCTGTCCCTGGTACCTTGAGGCACAGATTTCGGTGGCTGTAGCCACCTGGCTGGGCCCCTGGAGGCTGGCCTGGCAGCCTGCTCGGCTCTTGCCTCTGGCCAGGCCTCCTGTCTCCACCCTCATCTCCACCCACCCCAAGGCTGCTGCCCATTCTGGGGAGTGGCAACCCGGGGCTGTGGAGGCCCTGGGCAAACACACAGGCCAGATGGGCCCAGGGGCTGTGGACTAGCCCTTGCTAGTCCTCCTGAGAGGGAGAGGCGCACCCAGCCGTGTGTTCTCTCTCCTGCCTGGCTCTCTGCCATAGAGACCGCCTCCCCCCCCAGGCTTTCCTCCATGGAGAGGGGAAGCCTCCCTGAGTGTGACAGTGACAGGCAGGGACCTGCTGGGGTTGGGGGGACTGAAGGTGGAAAGGAATCAGACACCAATCTTTTTTCAACTCCCCACCCCACCCCAGCCTTTTCTCTGGAGGCCCTGAGGCTTGCCCCACCTTCCCAAATCATTGAGGGCAACACCTAGAGGAGGTACCTCTTTGTAGGGGAACTTTCTGGGTCAGTACGTCCTCAGCCCCAGGGTCCAAACGGATGTGAATGTCGGAGCGGCAGCAGGCCTGTGGCCCGGCTCAGCCGTGTTTTGATCTCAGGCCATTTAGTGTGTCCACAGTGTGCGTGTGCGTGTGCGTGTGCACGCACGCACCGGGGCGAGACACAGAGCCAGGCACTATGCACTTCCTCTTCTCCAGGAGCTGCTGCTCCGGTCCAGTCTGGTCACCCCCATTTATTTAAGAAAATCAGACACAGTGGTGGGTAGAACCCAAGAGAGAAGGGGCTGTGGGCTGGGAGGGGTGGGGAGACGCCTGGCTCCCGGCTGCCTTGGCCTGTCCCAAGGTCCTCCACAGCATGTCCCCTGGTACCCTCTCCCCCTCCCACCAGATTCTTCTTCCTGGGGGGAGGGTGGCTTGCTGCCCCTGCGGAGAGGAAGGCATGGTCAGCAGAGCAGGAGGGGTGGGGCTAAGGCGCAGTGTTGACCTCGCTGTGGGCTCAGCAGGGGGACCCGGCTTCCCTGGGCTGCCCAGACCACAGTGCTGGGGTATGGTTTGCGAGGGGCAGACCCAGGGCTCCTCCCCACTGAGGCCCCTGCCCACAGCCAGTTGGGACAGAGGAGGGAGTCCTGAGATCTCAGGAAGGTGCCTGGCTTGGCCCAAGGCCCCTCTGTAGGGTCAGCTCCCAGGTCCTGGGAAGGGACCAGGGGCACCCAGAAGCCAGCAGATGCTACAAGTGTCCCCCCCGCCCCCCACCACCGATAGTTTGTCCACAGCAAGATCCTTGGCAGGGCAGGCCACGGCCACCTCCCCACCCTGCAGGACAGAAATCCCTGAATAGTGGTTTGAGAAAAGTCTTTGTGCAGCTTGTGACACAAGACCCCCCAAAGCCCCCCCAACACAGGGGGAAGACAGGGGACACGGGGGGCAGGGGCACAGTGTGGCCCACCTCACCCCAAGCTTGGCCTCCATGCCTCACTTTTGGGGCAGGGGGTTGTCTAAGATGGGAGGAGGTCTGGGAAGAGTGGAACAAGGCCCGGGATTGCTTTTCTCCTCAAAGCTCCTGAGGAAGGAGCCCTCCACCTTGGGTGGCAGAATCGGGTATGGGGTGAGGTGGCGGGAAGGACCCCGTAGGGTAGGCGGCCACCCAGCACGGAGCAAAGCTGCAGGGGCAGGGAGTACAAAATCCACGTCGGCCAGCCTGCGTCAGTGTGAGGGGGGTCCCAGCCATGTCCCTCACAGAGCCCACCCCCACCCCCAGGGGACGGCGCCTCTACGCGATCTCTTTGATTCTGCGCATGTAATTGTGCAGGTCTGGGGGTGCCGTGGGCCGCGTGGTGCCCGCCACATCCGGGCAGCCCCAACCCAGGTCCTCTTCGTCCTCCTCGTCCTCCTCGCCGGCGGGCACCGAGTCATAGGCCAGCTCCTCCGTGGGCAGCGTGGTGAAGGTGGTAAACTTGACCCGCTTGCGCTTGGAGGTGGGCGAGCTGGCAGGGTCCTCAGCCTGGTCGCGGGCCGAGCTTCCCGAGGAGCCGTCGCCCCGCCCGTGCACCTGGCTCTGCACGCTGGTCTGCGAGCTGCCGCTGCTGTGGTGGTCGCCGTGGCAGCAGGCAGGCACGGTCTCCAGCGGGTTGCCCGCGGGCGGAGACAGCTCTCCCTGCACCCGCAGTGGCTGCCCGTTGCCCAGGAACACCCAGTGGTGAGAGTGGTCCATGCTGGTCTGGCCCTCGGGCGGGATGCGCTTGTGCCGGTAGCGCAGCACGAAGACGATGCAGTTGATGAGGAAGACGAGGATGGCGAGGCAGAAGACGCCCAGCAGCGCGTACATGCCGATCTCCAGGTCCGTCAGCCCGCGCGGCATCTGCAGGAAGCCGGTGGGCAGCGGCAGGAAGTCTTCCGTGGGCGGCACGGCGCTGGCAGTGCCCGGGCCCGGGGCCTCAGCTGCTGGCATCGCTGTGCCCGGGGGGCCGGCTCCCCGGGCCTCGTCCTCGCCCCTGCCGGGGCCTGGCTGGCTGGGCCCTGGGTAGTCGTAAGTGGGGTCCTCCTCGTCCCGCCCAAAGTGCACCCGCAGGCCCACAGGGGTCGTGGCCAGCACACTCTTGCGTTTGGTTTTCTGGCAGCTCTCGGCAATGGTGAGCTCTGCACGCAGCAGATCCCCGGCGCCCTCGGCCTCCGCCACCACCAGCGGGAAGGCCCGGTCCTGGGTCACCGTAGCCACCCGCTCATCCAGGCTGCTCACCAGCAGCCCGTAGTCCCGGGGGCTGTAGAGGGAGAGGGGGGCTGTGGTGCCATCACTGTAGGAAAGCCAGAGGCTTAGAAGGGCTTCCTGGAGGAGAAAGAAGGGGACGGGAGTCAGAGAGCTAGTCCTGGCTGGCTTCCCTGCTAGGTGCTGGACAGATGCTGAGGTCTCTGAGGACAGGGACTGTGGTACTGTGGGTCCCAGCTGTATTCCCAGCCCTGGAACTGTTCCTGGCAGGTGGCAGGGCTTAGGAAGAACTGTGGGAGCAAGAAGTCCTCCTCTGGAGGTTGTGGGCAGGTAAGGGGCATGTTACTGCCCTAAGAATTTCCTTGTCCAATCGTCTTTCTCCCCTTGATAAGCTGAATGTATGTTCTGCCTTGGGTCGACCTTGAGCCCCCTTTGTTGCAGGAGTAACCCCATATCTCCATGCCTGACCTTGGGATCATCCCCATTAGACATGTGGAGACTGAGAACACATATGCCATCTCAGCCTTCTCCTCTGTTAAAACATTCTGAAAATTGCCTTCCCTGTGGATGAGGAAGCAGGGCCCTGAGAGAAGGGATTGGCCTGGGGTCACGGAGCAAGTTAGGGGCAGGGGGACTCCAGGCTCAGTGCTCGACACCTGCCTTCTTGCTCCCTGTGCTCCTGCCTGTCACCTTTCTGCCTCTGTCCTGCGCCCTGGTGCATCTGTTGGGGGCTGCAGCTGGGGCTCCAGATATGGGTGAGGGTAATTCCTAGGGGTGGAGGCAGAGGTGATGGGCTGTCTGAGAATCCGGGAGGGGGAGCCCTCAGCAGGAACATCTCGGGGTGGCAGGTACCAGAAGTGAGATCTTGGCTGGACTCCCTGTGCAGATGGCAGGGAACGGGGTGGGCCAGGTGTGCTGGGCACCAATAGTGGACAGATCTTCCATTAAAGCCTGAATTTGGGGGGCTCATGGCACAAGGACAAACTGGAATTGCCTTCATCCTTTCACACTGCAAGCCCCCCGGCTAGCAGGCTGGGCACCCGGTTACCTGCTTGAGGAAGCTGAGGGTCTGCTGGGCAGCCGTGGTGGCCAGGATGGTGTGACTGCTCCCTGGGCTGGGCCGCAGGGAGAGGGCGAGGCTGGCCACCACCTGGGCCTGCAGCTGTGTGATGCTGACCTTCTCCTCCGTCACTGTTAGCAGCGTCTCCCCAAGCACAGACTCCGTCAGTGGGGACACCACCTGAGACAGAGTGGAGCAGGGGTGGGCCAAGGCCAGGAAAGCAGCATCCTCAAGATTCCCAGCCATAAAGGAATCCCAGTGTTGCTGGAAGAGAGGGCCAGAGCGTGGGGTGGGGGTGGGGGTGGGCAGGGGGAGGCTGGACTCTTGGGTCCTGCTTTAGGGCTATAGCTGGGAACCAGGGTCCAGAGGCCAAGTGAGGTTCAGGGGCTTGCAGGAGCCAGGCAGGAACACAGATGAGAGAGGTGGGCAGATTCTAGGGTAAAAAATAGACCCCCACACCGATAAATAGCGATTGATCTTGGGGAGACAAAAGGGAGTGGTGGGGACTGTGGCAAACAGAACTTGTGCTCATGCAGTATTGACTCCATCCAGTTAGTGCCAGGTGGGAATGCAGGCCCAGGGTTGCCAGAATCATTGTCTGTAAAACCGGAAGTCTAGATCTTTAAAAACGAGAGAGCTCCCAATGTTTCAGTGATGAAATCAGCTGCTTTACAGATAAATGCAACTGGAGGCGGTTTGTAGCCCGTGGGTCACACTATTCACTACCTCTTAGAGGGCAGATTTCTACCCAGGCACCCAGCTGTAGAGGAGGAGGGTCAGACTTGAGTTCCTAGGTCCCCAAATTCCCTTTTCTGAGCCCCCTCTCCTCACCCAAACCTGCTCTCAGGGACCACACCAAGCCATACAGGGTTGGTAAAGGTCGCCGGGTCTTGCAAGGGAGATTGTCCTCCAAGGAGAAGTGAGAGGATCTTAACCTCTGACAGTGGGGTTTCAGGAGGTGGGGGGAGCAGGGCACAGGGCAGCGAGTGTGTTTTGGGGGCCTGCCGGGGTTGATCCCAGGGACAGAATCCCTGTCCCTCCTGGGACGTCTGTGTTCTCTGCCCACACAGTGCCCCTGTGCCTACCTTGAAGGGGGTGGTGCCCGGCTCCAGGCCCGCCAGTGTGCTGCTGTCCACCATGCGTGCCACTCGGGGGTCCCCCACCCGCATGAAGTCGCTGACCAGGTCAGTGACCTCCACCAGCCAGTCCGGGCCCAGCATGGGGACCACCTGGTCGGCGCCCTCGGACGATGTTGTGTGGAACTGCGTGAAGACCTGCAGAGTCGCGTGCTGATACTGCAAGGTGCAGCCGCGGCTGGCGCTCGGCCGCCGCTCCTCCTCCTCCTCGTCCTCATCCTCACTCTCCCGGGCCGACCTGGAGTGGGGAGGCCAAGGGTCAGGGCTCCTCACCGGCCTCCGACCTGCACAAGTCACTCCCTCACCCGTGCGGGCTGCGGGCTCCGCCCTGGCTCCCGACCCGGTCCCACTCCTTCTGTCTCTGATCAGCTGGGAGCCAGGTGTCCCCAGCCTTTTCTCTCCCAGAAACGTAACTTCCTGCCCCTCCCTTGGCACCGTCGGCCTCTGTGGGTCTTCACCCATGCCTGGAAATCAGCGGCGTTGGACCCTGACAAGCGCGGTCTCTTTCTCAGCACTGAGCACACGCCTGGCCCTGTTCTCCGCTCTCAACTGGGGAGAAGGCACTCCTTGCTCAGAGCGCCAGACTGCTCGGCTGGGGGTGCCCTGACGGCTGGGTGCGAACAGAACCTGGAAGGGATGAACTTGGAGATTTGGCTGAGATTTCCAAGTAGCGTGTGGAATGTGTGGCCTGGTTCCTCCTGCTGCTTCTAGGAAAACCCAAGAGGAGAGAGGTAAACTGAGCCAAGCACCAGGAAGCAAAAGGGAGGCAAGACTGGATGAATCGGGAAATTCAACCTATCCAGGTTGGTGAAGATGCTAAAACCAGGAGATTCGCGGTCCGGAGAGCACGCTCTGGAGAGAGCGAGCCAAGGACATGGTTAGCGTTTTGCTACTGCTGTGGAAAAGAAACCAGAATATCCATCCACAGAGGGCTCTCTCACCTGGGCTGACTCATCCTCACCACCATGCTGAGGTACATGCTAATGTGCCCATTTTGCAGACGAAGAAATGGGGCATACAGAGAGTTTGTGTTAAGTAGTCCAAGGTGGCCCAGCTAGGAAACGGCAATCAGGATTTAAACCCAGCCTATCTCACTTCACAGTGCACTACGCCCCTGTGAACTCAAAGCAAGCCCAGGAGCTGGTCCCGGGGCAGAATCACAGACTCCCTCCCAAACCCACTGGGTCAGAATCGGCACTTTAACTGGCTCCTTGGGCGACCACATGCACGTTCAAGTTTGAGAGGCTCAGATCCACACGGCCTGGCTCTTCCTGATCTCTGCATAATTGAACTGAGCCCAGCTCTTCTTGACCACCACTTCTCCCCCAGCCCAGCCCCTCCCCATTTCGCTGCCCACCCCTCTTCCTCCCTCCGCCCTGCTGGCTCTTCCCTCCAGCAGCAGTGTGGGGTGAATGGAGTACATGCCCCTGAGATGCACACTCAGGTGCATGAGGTGCCCCCCAGTGAGGGATCCTGGTGTGAGTCACTGCATGGCTCGGTTGGTACACACGAGTGTGCCCTTGGCGTTCACAGGCTGAGGCACCCACATACAGGTTTTGTCTTTGGCCTGGCTGCTCTCTCACCCTGTCTTCCCAGCCAACTCCTTTCCACTCATTCTTTAAAACTTAGCCAAGAGTCACCTCTTTCAGGAAGCCTGCCTTGACTTATCCTAGAGGAAGAGATGGTTCTCTCCTCTGTGCCCCTTGATTCCCCACACAGAGGGCTTCCTGTGTCCACCATGTCCTGTGGCATGTACAGGACAGCCTCCCTGCTGGACCCAGACCATGGCTGGGTCAGGCACTGGTCACACTCACCCCATATCTCAAGCACCCATCAGTGCGCGGCACACAGTAGCTGCTCAGTAAATGTTTGTTGACTGCCTAACCGACCAGCAGCCTGTGTATACCCGGGGCCTCATACACATATGTGGATCAGACCCCATGCCAGGGCCGGGTCCACCTGTGAGTATCCCGAGTATCCAGTGTGTGGAAGGGCATTACCTCCGGTCGGGGAGGATAGGCACCCTCCAGCCCTTCACTTGGCTGAGGCGTGCATCCGAGAGCTCGATGTGCAGGGGCAGCTTGGGGACCCAGACTGTCATTTCCAGAGGGGCATTGAGGATGTCATAGCGGAAGGTGACCCTGGCGTTCATGGACCCGCGCGACTCCTTTCCACTAACAAACACGTAGTCGCAGCTGCTGGATACCTGGGGCGGGGGGAAGAGGGAGGTGTTAGCTTTGGGTATCCCTGTTCCCATTATTTCTTCACAGATCATCATCTCTCAGTGGCTACTATGGGAGGTTTTTGCTCCCTGGCAAGGGGTGAACATGCACCTGCCTTTACAGAAGGCTGCTTCTGATGGGGCAGACCACACCTCAGAGGAGCATTAAGGCTGAGGGACCCCAAGCTGGCTCCCCTTCCCAACATGACTTCTTGTGCCCTGGCGTGGGTGTCTTTTGGTGGTGTACTCCACGGTAGAGAGGGATGTGTCCTGAACTCATGATTCCCCCCTGGCCCCCCTGGCCCTGCGGCCCCCGGAAAATAAGCAGCTGGTTAATTTCTGAGGCAGGGACTGTTCTAGCCAGGGGTGGAGGTAGGGGATGGAGAGAGGAAAAATCAGGACAGACAGGTGGCTGGCTGCCACCAGTGGGTACAGCTTATACAAATGCATGCCCACCAGGTCCCCGACTTACATTCCCAGAGGTTCCTTGGGTGGGCACGTGCCTGCCGAACACATCTCGGGAGACACCTGTGCCAGTCCGCAGGACAGATACGGGTGGGTGTATACATCAAGTGTGCCCAGTAGGTAACCTGGCACACTCTGGAGTAAATCTCATGTGCAATGCGTTGAGGTGCTCCTGCTGGTACACGCCCATGGGTGCACACCCTCGCATTTGGGGAGGATCTGATCATGTGGCTGGTGGGCTCATGACATTCTGAAGACTCTGCTGGGGCCAGGGAGGGTGCCAGGACTCTGGCTCATCTCTCACGAGCCCCTGGCTGTTCGCAAACTCCTGCTAGCTCCCTTAATCATCTCAGGTGGGGGTGGTAGGACGTGGGACAGCAGCCCCGCCAGAAATGCTCATTTCCCACTTCAGAAGGCAGAGAACTCCATCTGAAGGCTGGCAAATTCCACCCTGAGTGCTGGCAGACTCCATAAAGAACCCGAGTGTATTCCATTGAGAGTGGAAACAAATTCCATTTCGAATCCTTGTGAATTCCCTTTGGTATCTAAGCAGTCAAGACTTTGCTCTGGTCCACTCTGCAGCCGGAGTGGCAGAGCCTGGGGGGCAGAGGCAGGATGAGGGCCTTTGCAAGCAGGTCCGTTTTTCTCCTGTCCCAGCCTGCCAGCCCTGGAAAGTCCCACGGGCCTGGGCAAGGTTTCTACTCCCCAGGCACCAGGCCATCGGCTCCTGCTCATTCGGGGTGAGGGGTCATTCTTCCTGGATGTGGGAGGGATGAGGTGAGGCTCCAGCTCCCCAGAGCTGGGGGGATCTGGGGCAGAGTGTGGAGAGACAGAGCATACACACTCCAGCCCCAGTTAGCCAGAGGGATAAGGACACCCACGGCCCACTCCTCCTGCTCTCCTTCAGCCTGAGCTATTTACAGGCTCAGGGAACAGATTCCCTTTCCTGATCATCTGATTTGGGCACCTGCTGGAGGCTGGCCCGATAAACAGCTCACCCACCACACCGACACCAGGACTGCCGCTCTCCTGCATCACTGCCTGTCCCACTGCCTGTGACTGCTGTCTGAAGGGGTAAATCTGGAGGCCCTCCTGGGGAGGTGGCAAACTAGGTGGGTCCCTTGAGTCAGATGGCTGTCCTGTTTGTCAGGCTGTGAGGACCTGGGGCCCAGAGTGGGTCTCTGGGGAGAGAGCTGTGGGAGGGGCCTGTAGGAGTTGGAGGATTTGAGGGGTGGGGGGTGGGCCCTGAGCAGGTCCTTCCTTATATAACCTTAACTCACATGCTTCTGGGGCTTCATCTCTGAGCTGAATCTCCTCCATTCGGGCACCAGCACTGGGTTCAGGGCACATACTCGAGAGGCCTCCTTCCCACCCTTGTTGCCTTGCCCGGTGTCTGTCCGGGCAGGGGCTCAGTCATCACTTGATGTGTTGGATTGAGCTCAGGCTGTCTGCCTGCTCCCCTCTGCCTGCCAGATGGTCTCTTTCATATTTCTGCAGGAAGCCCTCCAGGACCAGCAGTACCCGGGCTTTTCTTCACCCCCACTAGTCACAGATGCCTGAAGCTATTCCTGCCACCCCCCGACCCCCCAGTTTCTCCTCCTCTTGCCTGCCACGGGGAGCTGCTTGGGATGCGAATTCCCTCTGGCTTGGGTTTCTGCTCCCCCTGAAGTTCTGAGGCCCTTTTCCCAGGGGGCCCCCATCTCTAGGAAACCCACCTTGATGATGTCCTCATTGTCAGATTCACATTCCACTAGGGCAGAGACATCTAGGACAAGACCAGTCACCTCGATGGCGATGACCTTGACCGGGATGGCCACCGTCCTGCCCGTCAGGATAGCAGTGTTGATGATTTCGGTGTCCTGCAGGGAGGGTGGGGCCCTGCTGAGCAAGGGGCACCTGTGTGCCTCCACTCTCCCAGGACACGCCAGCCAAGCCCAGGCTCCTGACTACCCTACCCATCGCTTGCACGGCCTTCCCCTGGGGACACCTGCACACATATGCGTAGAGGTGCAGCTGTCCAGTTTTCACTCATCTCAGATGCTCTGCTTGCTTGGCCTCCTGCTGTAGCCTTCTGGTCTACCTCCCTCCGCTACCATGAAATAGCCCTTCCCGGGTCCCCCAACCACCTTATCTTTGAAAACTTATATGCCTCTCAGAGTCACATCCAACACATCTGCCTGGCCATTCCAGGTGCCCCTGGGCTGGCCCGGTGTCCCTCTGGCCATTGCAGGTGCCCTGGGCTGTTTGGAGACAATCACTCCAGCCTCACCACCTCATGGCACCCTTCCCACATGCACTGCACCTTAGGACAGACGACTCCCATTCCCATCCCCACACCTTTGCCCATGGGATCCCTGCCTAGAGCACCCTCCTCACCATCTCTGATTGTATGAGCCCTTCCTTCCACCTGTCCTTCAAGGCTCAACCGCACGACCCCCTCCTCCAGGAAGCCTCTCCTGAGTGGCCTTTCCATGGGTGACTTTTCCCACCTCTGGCTCCCTGAGCATCTGCAGTCCTACTCCAGTACCAGGCACAGAGTGCCGCCTGCTTCCAGTGAGTGTGCGCACGCACACGCGCGCGCACACACACACACACACACGCACACACCCCTCCGCTCACAGGCACGCCTGGGTGCAGGAGACAGTCACACACTTGGGCGCAGTTCCCCGCGTACACATGCCCTGATCCATACGCACGCTCAGCCGGGCACACGTTGGTCACGCACAGGCACCCATGACAGACACACGCGTCCACGGACCCGGCCGCCGCCCTGCTCACCATGGCCAGGGGCAGGATGGCCTGCACATCCCGCTGGATGACCGTCAGCTCGGTGACCGCCCGCTCCAGGTCAGGCAGGGCGCTGTGGCCGCGGTAGTCGACGTGCCACATGATTCTCCGCTTGACCGACTGGCTGGTGAAGTTCTCCATCTCAAAGTCCAGCTGCAGGATCTCCAGTGGCCCCTGGCCTTCCCTGCAGGGTCAGGGCGGGAAGCAGAGCCCGGGAGGAAGGGCTGCGAGCCGCCCAGAAGCTCTGAAACCCCTGGTAGGCCCACCCCCCCACAGCCCTCCTTGGCAGCCTGCCAGCTGGGGCTTTCGAGCCTTCTCCGGTCACCCCAGGTGCCCCAGCCTGGACCTAGAGTCCCCAGCACCAGAGCACCGGCCCTCCTGCCAGCCTGGCTTCCTCCATCAAGGGTCCCCCACCCCTTCTCGGTGCCGTCCAGCAAGGAGGTGGGCAGAGGTGCTTACCAGGGGGGCAGCGGGGTGCCCTGGGCCCAGGCCACATCCACGGTGGCTGTTGAGTGCTTTGCCCCAGTCAGCAGCTCCGAGGTCACGTGCCACTGGCCGCTCCGTGACTTGGTGCCCAGAAGGGTCACACCCTTCTTGGCCTTCACCCTGGGACAACGTGGAAAAAAGGAAAGGGAGACAGTCAGCCTAGGGCCCAGTGACTGCCTGCCTGGCCAATCCCGCCCCCCAACCCCAGGATGGGGCTGGGAGTAGGGGGAGCAGGTGAGTAATTCACCCCAGTAAATTATCCTGGACTCAATGCTGGCGATGAACCTGGGGAATCTGGTATCATGTAGCTGAAACCTCCAACCCTCCGTGGAGGCTTCAATCACTTCTACCATATCTCTCTGCCAAGCTTTTATCAAACCTCTACTTGCATACCTCAGTGACAGGAGACTCACTACTGCACACATCCCATTCCATTCTTAGAAAGCCCCTAAGGACTAGAAACCCCTTTCCTACATTTAGCTGAAGTATAACAGTCATGGGTTCTGCCCCGGCAAGAGAGAACAACTCTCCTTCATTTCAATTGTAACAGTTCTTCAGACAGTGGGAGGAGGGCAGGTGTTTCCTAAGTCTTCTTTGTTACTTTTTGCCATAGCTTTAAGTTAACCCTTGCAGTTAGGGTTCAACCCTTGCAACTAGGTCTAGTCACCCTCCTCTGGACACTAAACACATGGGCATTGTGGCCTATACGAAATACAACACTTCAGCTGTGCTCTGATTAATATTGACTAAAGAAGAACAGTGACCACCTCCTGAATTCTACATATTCTACTCCTGTTAATGCAGCCCAAGATCTGTGATGACTGATTTAAATCATATTCACATTCATGTATCAATAAATCAGGTCTATCCCTCCCAGGAATATCTGAACTTTAAGAAGGCAAAATTTAACTCAAAGAAGTTGGAGGTCAATGGCAATGTTTTGGGTCCTGTGCATAATGCCTGGGGCGGGGGAGATATTTTGGTGGGGCCCTTGATACGACCGACTTAAAGTATTTCTGAGTTTGTGAACTGTATCCTGTTCAGGGTGTAGAAAAGGCTGGGACTCCTGGAAATTTTTTCTCCCAACTCCAGGATTGGGCAAATGTCCTGACACATGGACAGACTACTGCTCATCTTTTGGCTCCCAGCCAATGGGCTGCTCTCTGATCTCCATTTCTTCTCTTTGGCCTTGGTCTCCTCACCTAAAATGAGAGTTGCACTAGCTAACATCTAGTGCAACCCCATTCTCTCATTCTTGATACCTATGCTTGTGAAAACTGACATTTCTCCTTGACGGTTTCCCTGAGCTACAGAGGTCAGAGGTCGGGCAGAAATTTTTGCTGTCATTAAGCCAGTGAAAACATGGACTCAGGTAAATAAGGTGTCTTCTTGAAGTTGCTCAAGTGATAAATGGAAGAGGATGCTGGCCAGGCAGGCAGGCAGGCAGGGGCTCGCCCCTACAAGGCAGCGAGCTATGCACTTACTTGACCCCTGAAGGGAAGGCAGACCCCCCCCCCCACCCACCAGCCCCCTACCTGAGTGTGAAATGCTCCACGCTGGGGCTGGAGGGAGAGGAGGAGTTGGGGGCCAGGTAGAGGAGAATGCTGAGCACCTCCCCAGGCTTGAGGGGCCGATCGGGCAGGCGGATCATCAGGTTGCTGTCCAGCCGGTGCTCCTGCAGGGCCCTCCTGGGGGGCGGGCGGAACAGGCTGATGCTCCCGATGCGCAGCAGTGGGTGCTGGGTGGGGCTCTCGGCGCGGGCGCCGGTCCCCGGCCCGGCTCCCCGACGTGCGCCCCCGCAGCCGCCCGACGCGTCGGGGGCATGGAGGGTGTAGTAGAGTTCGGCCTGCTGACTCTCCCCCGTGGCCTCCGGGTCTAGCCCGTCCGGAGACTTGCGCCGGGTGGTGGGCGGCGCGGCGGGGGCGGGGGGTCCGAACCAGGCCAAGGGCAGCTCGGCCCGCACCAGGCAGGTGGCCAGGCCCCCGCTGAGGCGGCAGGAGCTCTTGACCTCCCGGGCGTCCCGGAAGGCGTGCAGGCGGACACAGGGCAGTCGCTCGGTGACGCCAAAGTCGTCCCAGTCGCGGCCAGCCACATAGAACAGCACCTGGGCCACCGGCTGCGAGGCGGGCACGCGGGCGCGGACGATGAAGGCTCGCACCTTCCAGTTGACGGTCAGGCGCTCAGGGATGTCCAGGGTGCTGGATGGCTGCAGCAGCTCCCGGGCCACCACCTGGCTGGTGCTGAAGGGCCCCAGGGAGACGTTGAGGACGGGCAGCTCCTTGGTCTGGAACACCACGAAGGGCTCCGAGCGCTGAAGGGAGCCGTTGGCGACCGCAGGCGGCGGGGGCCGCGCGTCCCGCAGGAAGAAGGCCAGCCGAGTCCGCGACAGGCGGTAGCTGACCGGCAGCACGGGGCTGGCCTGCGGCCCCGGGGGGCTGGGGCTGGCTGGGTGGGAGCGGCCGGAGGCTGGGGACAGACAGAGGCAAGAGCCCGGAGGGGTCAGCGGAGGCTGGGCTGGGACTTCTGGGCACCCCAGCCTCCCACCCCCGTGGGGGGCGTCAGCTCCAACCCCGCTTCCCCCTTCACCACTGCCTCTTTTGCCCCAGCATGGGGGCGGAGGTAGGCCTGATAGCATCGCAAAGCATGGTGAAGCTTTAGAGGCTTTCTTCCCTGGCATTCTCATCTGTAAAATGAGGATAAAATGGGCTTCTGCCTGGAAATGTGGTTGTGAAGATTTACCAGTAGTGTGCACAAAGGGCTGCGAGCGGAGTGTGGTCCTGGGAAGGCGGGGGCTCTGGGGGTTACAAGCTACTCAGCACTCTGCAGGCATTGGCCTGTTTAATGCTCAGATGGACTCTCCCAGCCAGGTATTCTACCTCTCCTTGGATTTGATCTGTTTTCTATAAATAATTTCTCTTTTTTGAGAGCCTGTTCTTGTATCTCACAGGTCAAGGTGTGGAATGCTTAAGCAACTTACCCAAGTCACCTGAGTGACAGGGGCCAGGATTATGATTTGAACCCCGGGCCACCTGACTCTCAAAGCCAAGGCCGTTCCTGCCCCAACTGTCGAAGAGGGTGCAGGGCCCCCAGAGATCCCTTATTTCCTACTCGTCCCCCCAACCCCATGCGCTATACACTCAGGGAATTTGACCCCAGTCTCCCAAACACAACGTGGACCTTGGGTCTGACGTCTCTGGTCCCCATATCTGTGCAGAACCCGGCCAAATTCTAGCAATTCCACTTGTTGACTCTGGGGTGTGTCCCAAGCTGTCCTCGTCCTCCATCCCCGGAACCCTGCCCCAATTCTGGCCTGGATGCTGTTGCTAGGACGACACATGGCATGACTGGTTCTCCCCTCTCCCCGTAATCATCTCCCCGGCATCCCCTCCCTCCACAGCAGCGGAGTGATGTGCTCGTCCTGGACACAGATGGGAGTTGTGGGCCCCTCACTGCCGGCCCAACTCCCGCTGGAGACTGTCAAGGAATAGGAAGGACCAACATGTAGGGGTTCGAGGTTTGAGAAGCAGTTCTGGATCTTGCCATGGACCCCTGAGTCACTTTCCTTATATTTAAAATCAGGGTAATAATAACAATGCTGATCTTGAAGGATGTGGTGCTGTCACTGTTCTGTTCTCGAGAATCAAGTAAGAAAGCACTCTATAAATTAGGCAATGCCATGTCACTGTAAATATTAGGAAAGAATCTCTCCCTTTTGCTTACAAAACAAACTCCAAACTCACCTTGAGCTGGACTGTGATCCTCTACAATGGAGTTTCAGGCTGCCCTTTCTCAACTGTTCCCCCCAAGTTCCCACTGACAATGTGACCGGACACCTTCTGGCTTTAGCACTCGCCAATGCCATCTTATCTCCCCTCCTTGGCTCCTGCCATGCCCTCTAAGTCAAATTCACTGCTTTTCTAACTGTATACATCCAGATAGGAATCTTCCTCCACGGTCCAGCGCCAATGCCACATCCTCCATGAAGTCCTCCAAGATATGACCTCAATTCCCGGGATGTTACTTCTCTGAGGGAACCTCTCATCTTGTCTTGTGTGGAAGTTAGTTATCTATGAAGCTGTGCACTGAGCAAGCCTTCCACAAGATGTGGCTGATTGGTGGGGACCCGCGTCGCAAGGAGACTCCCAATCAACGCTATAGTGGTTATTTGAAGTTTATGCACATTTGTCATTTTATCACCGTCAAAGAAACCTTGACAGTTCTACAAACCTTCCCAGCCAATTCCTCATAAAGGCAATGGACTAAAAATTCCCAGCTCTGGAGACTCTGGTGGCTCTGGTGTTTACGTCCTATTGTTTGTTTGTTTGTTTGTTTTTTAAATCTGTGGTTTAATTTCCTCATTCAGAAAAAGCAGCATTTGGCTTGGGGCAGGGCATAGGCCCTTGGAGTCAGGTGCTCTAAGAGGAGTGGCACCTGGTCTCATGCACCTGCTCAGGGCTCTCTCTGAGTGGCCCTTGGGACCAGCTGGGGAAACTGCCCATGGGGGTGCGGCCCATGCTTTAACCACCAGACTGCTTCTTCCATTCCCAGGAGAACTCTGTTCCTGGGCCACCTTTCCCCCTGGATGCTCTGCACCCTGTGGGGTACGCTGGCTGCCATTGGTGGGCTAGAGGTGGGTAGCTGAGTTCAAGAGGAGGACAGGAAGATGCCTGGAGAGATGGGGAGAGCCTTCCTGGCAGGAATCCCTGCCCCACAGTTACTCCAGGAGTCTCTGACCCTCACCATTGTTGGGAGGCTGGCCCAAGTCACACATTTGGGGTCCAGGACAACAATCTGAGCCAGGGCACAAGGAGCCAGCCAATTGCTTTGGAAGCAGCGAGAAGCAGGCAAACAAAGATTTCAAGACTCAAGTTCAAGTTTCTCCCTGTGACACTTGTTGGCAAATTACTTCCCATGTTGGGCCTTGGTTCCCACATCTAAAATTGAGATGGTGATATCGGCCCCCTCATAGGGATGCTGAGAATAGATAAGAGGCCAAGGGGACGGAGGAGGGCACTGCTCTGGGTGGCGGGATGGCCAGGGCTGGGATGGGGAGGGGTGGCCATGCCTGTCCCGCTGGGGTTGTGGAAGGGCGTCTGCCATAGCTGTAAGCTCTCCCTATCCAGGCCGGGTGGGGCTGCAGAGATCATAACCACTGTCCCTGCCTTGCTTACTGTCCCTGGAAGATCCCAGACGCTGCTAAGTGGCACTTTGTCCCCTCTGACCCTCTCACTGTCCTAAGCTCCCTGTGGGCCATCTGGACCCCTGGGAGGCACGGCACGGGCAGAAGCCACCAGATGGGCAGCAGATGGGGTCATGGAGGAGGGGACTGGAGACCATGTTTGCATGCACCCCTCTGCCCTCAGTGGATTTTTGGTGAATGAATGGAGTTCTCTGAAGGAGCTGCCCACGGACTGGGGTGCCATGTGGGGTAGGAGTGTCTCCTGCAGCATCCGAGGGGACACTAGGTGGCACTGAGGGAGAGGGGTCCCGATGCTGGGCAGCAGCAGATAAGGAGGCTGAGTTTCTGAAAGGGGAAGCAACCTGTGTTAAAAAAAAACCAGCTTGCTTTCAGACAGGGGAACCAGAAAAGACGGTATTAGGGCGCTACAGTGTCTGTATTTATGTCGTCGTGACACACGACAGCCCCTCCAGTCACCACCGTGAGTCATTCTATCTTCCGGGGCCCTGAGCCTCCTCTGTGGGGGCGGTGAGTGCTTCTGAGACTCCAGCAGTAACCCCCGGTCTCCTGGGCTCACTGACTCTGCAGCCTGAAGGAAGCTGCTCGATCTCTCTGGGCCTCAGTTTCCCCAGGGCTGTGGGAGAGGCTCTGGAAGTGTTCTGGGGGTGGCGGGAGCCGAAGGGGAGACCTGTGGAGCCATCGGCAGACAGATCAGGTTTTCAGGGATGCTCTGTGGGAAGGTGTGTGCACGCTTGTGTGTGTGTGTGTGTGTGTGTGAGTGTGCAAGTGTGCACGCTGGCCTGCATCTCAGCCTGGAGCAGGCCCAGCCTGAAGACGGAGGAGCTGCTGGACAGTTTCCTGAAGGACCGCGGGTGGGGGAGGAGAAGATCTACACAGATCTGAGGTTGGGGAGCTCAGGGTGGGGGGGGGGCAAGAGGTACTGTAGGGGTGTGAGTGGTGGACAGCCTGGACCCCCGACAGAGGGGCAGCTGTTCCCATGGGCTGGTGTACACCTGCCCCTAGCTGGTCTTCAGGCTTGGCCCCTCTCCCTGCTCCCCTTACTCCCCAAATCACTTGCCCTCCAGACCCCTACTTCCTGCTCTCGTGTTCTGGACCAGCTCGCCCTGAGGACCAGGCTTGACCCTGTCTTCCTGTCCCGCCTCAGCTCCCCTCGGAGTGGCCTCCCTGCTGGAGCGGCAACGAGGCTCTTCTCTGTGTACACAGCCTCGGGCCTCCTGAGGCATTTGGGCCTGGCCCTGGGATCCTCTCCTTCTCACAGAAAGGGCTTCTCCACATCCTCTAGGGCACATGAGGGGTGTTATGAGTTAAATTGTGACCCCCCACCCCAACTCATTCATGAAAGGCCGGAACCCCCAGGAGCTCAGAATGTGGCTGTGTTTGGAGACATGGCTTGCAAAGAGGTGATGAGAGTAACATGAGGTCATTAGGGTGGGCCCCAATCCAGTACGACTGGTGTCCTTACCAGCAGACGGGATCAAGACACAGATACCCAGAGGGGAGGCCTCGGGAAGACGTAGGGAGAAGGCGGCCCGCTGCGGGGCAAGGAGGGAGGCCCAGGAGCAGTTCTCCCCACTGACCCTTTGGCCTCGGACTTCCAGCCCCGGCACTGAGAAGCAAGAGTCTGTCGTTTTAGCCCCCTAGCCTGTGGTGCTATGCGAGGGCCGCCCAAGCAGACTCACACAGGGGATTGGCTATGTGTGCCCCTCACAGTCTCAGTCTCCCCAGTAGGGAGTGGAGACACCTTACCAGGGATGAAGATGGGCTGGGAGAGTGCACAGGGATAAGGATGGCAGCCAAGGCACTCCTAGCCCCTTCCTAACGCCACACCTAGCATGTGACCCTTTCCCGCTGAGCTGACCCCGGCAGGTACACCCAGCTCTTCACAGAGGGGTATCTCAGAGGGGGGTGTCTGTGGGTGCCACAGCCTGTACTCCCATCCCTCCCCGCCCAGTCCCTTGGGGAGCACCAACCCAGGGCTGCTTCTGGGTTATGCTCCCCTGAGAGGCAGTGGCCTTCATCGTTCCTTTCTTGTTCCAGAAAGACATGATGGTATGAATAGAGGCTTCACTGGCCCTGTGTCCAAGGGCATTGGACTGGACCCACCAGCACCCAAGAGAAGAGGGCAGGAGATGAGGTGTGGGGTCCCCCCATCCTTCTGTGCCTGGTCCTGGCACCGCCTCTCACCACGGCCACCTGGATTGTGCTTCCCTACTTCTTGGCTCTGTCCAGCTCGGGCTCTGACCGACCTGGAGCTCGGCCCTGGTGTGTGTGACACGCAAATGATCGCCAGACTGTTTCATGTCACTCCTGGGAATGCTCCCCAAAGGCAGGCCCATGCGCCCCAAAGGCAGGCCCATGAGCCCTTCTCAGGCCACACCCAATACCAGGAGGCACCTGCTTAGTTATGCTTTTGTCTTTCCAGCTGGACTGGGGTA